ACAGGCCATTTACCATTTACATTTACAGATAGTGCCAAAATGCACCAAAATATGCCAAATGGCAAAACACCTGATTATGAGTTTATTAAACCCACTGTAACATTTCTGTGTTTCACTTTAGAAGCACCAGTCTTTGCACAGATAATGTTGATTACTGGTGTTGTGGAGTTTAATGTCTAATGAAGCATATAAGTGGTTATAGGCAATAAAATCCCAAAATAAATTAGGCGAGGAAAAAAAAAAAATTCTTAAATATAAGAATCCATGTGACGTTTTATTTACACAGCACCAATTCACAACAACAGTCGCCTAAAGGAACTTTACATTATAAGGTCAAGACCCCCCATGTCAACAGGGGGATACGTCTGTTAGAACCAGGCTAAGGCAGCAGCATCCAGCTGTTACAGCTGGTCGAGGGGTAGGAGAATCAGGGGTAAGGGTGAGTTTTATATCTGCCAGGTGCCTTGTGAATGACACTGGATGACAAAGTTGATTTTAAATTGACATCAAATTGCTGTCATGCCCACTGTTGTTAGTTGCAGTTTACACCTCGATTTTTGTAATATCAATATTACAAATATCAATAGAGAGGCTCAGAGATTCATAGATTATTCAAAGGGAGATGCAGTTGCAGCAGTTTGAAAAGGTGAGACTTGGTGGAAAAACACTTAGGCTTCTAGTTTTGACTACTGCTATATTATCGCTAATGTGGCGGTGTTGTTTGAATGGCTCTACTTATTGTTTGGGGGAATACTGCATTGACCATCTGTGCCTTAAAGACGAGTGTAAAAAGAAGTAGTGTGATCATATCACCAGTAGCAACTTAAGCGCAACCAATGTGGTGAAAAAAGTAGAAAAGAAAAAGTCAAGTTTTAAGCTTTGTATTAGAGTAGAAGGATTTTAAATTCAATTCTGGATTTAACAGTGAGCCAGTGGAAAGAAACCAATGTGAGACAAATATTGTTGTTTCCCTTTCTAGCTCCTGTCAGTACTCACACTGCTTTGGATAAACTGGCTTTTCAGGGAGCTTTTAGAATAGCTGTAATAATGAATTGCAAAAGTCTAGCCTAAAAGTAATAAATGCATGAACTTTTTCAACATCTGAGAATAGGATGTTTCTAATTTAAGAGATATTGCCCAAATGTAAGCAAGCAGTCACACGTATTTGTTTAATATGCACATTGTAAAACACATCCTGGTCAAATACGACTCCAAGATTTCTTACAGTATTACTCAAGGTAATGCCATCCAGAGCAAGTATATGATGCTTTATAACATGTGTTATAAGGTTTTTAGGGCAAAGTACCATAACAATTAATTTAAATTGGAGGTCATCCAGCATTTTGTCTTTAAGACATACTTTTTGTAGTGTTGCTGTAAATCTCAAAGGACATCCTGGTGAAAACTGTAAAAAAAAAGAAAGAAAGAAATGTATACAAAATTAGGCTAAACTGGATACTAAGCTGAATACAAAAGCAATCAGCATCTGCACTCTTAACTCTCTCTCATGAATTAACCTAACATTGTGAAGTGAATTAACTTACAGCATTGATTCCATGATGCTTCGACACAGATGAAAAGAGACTTCAGCACATGGTCAACATGGCTGTAATGCTTTTCTCAAAAGAGGATGTTTGAGCAGGAAGCAATGTCATCACATGATACTAAGACAAATAAAGTTACTTTTAACTAAAACAAAAATAAACATTCCATGTTTATCCATTTCATAATGATCAAGTTCTTCATACAAAGAAAAAAATTCTCAAATGACCAAACAAATCTCAGAACTAAACTCAGCCTGAAAATTCCTGTGAGCCACTGCCCACTGCTGCCTCTGTTTTAGGAAAGGTAGGTATTCCTGGTTCCAGTCGGACCAGAACAGATTTGTAAGAGCCTGAGAACACAGTTTTTTTTGTGAAACTCCTTTTCTGGGAAGTCTTCAGGTGAAGGTTGAAAACCTGACTTCAGTGTAAGATAAAGGTTTTGCTGAAGAAACATTGTATCAAGAATTCTTCTGGCAACAACTCACGTGCTCCCGAGATCCTGCTTGGTGAGAGGCAGGCGGTGGGTAAAAAAAAAAAAAAAATTTTTAAAAAAGTGTGTGTGTGTACTTTAAACTGTCTACCTCTCTGCAGTTCCTGTTGATTTTCCGGAGAGCAGCAGCTGGAGAACTGCAGGAAGAAAGTGGTCTACTGGCATTAGCAAGACTGTCTGAGATCGATGTCTCCACTCAGGGTGTTATGGGGGCCAAAGACTTTTTTGAAGCCAAGGTATGTAATAACATTACACTGTGTACTTTAGCCGTACGCCTAGATTTTGACCTTGTCCTTAGCTCCTTCAATGCCTATCATGACCTGTGTTCAGAGTAAAAACATGAAAATATTAACTTTACTGGAACTAGCCTGTGAACGTCTATCTGAAGCCTGTTTCAGTGTTCGGGGGGGGGGGGCTTTAATATACGATACCCCAATATGTATACTTTTCTTTTTTTTTGCACAGAATGTTAATGAGTCAAATGGCATATGACTTATCTCTGTGCCCGAGTATACGTTTGATAACTGTGGATGCAGCTATGTAACTACTGGTGAAAAAACAAGTACATCAAGTACATTAAGTACTGTACCCAAAGCTTAGATTTGTGAAAAGCTGCAGTCAGCTGTGCATGGCTACTTGGGTTTAAGAAATTTGTTTTTGTGTTGTACCAGATGCAGGCTCTGTCTGCCGGTAGCAAGTTTGAGGCTGAAATTCGAGAGGAAAAAGAAGAACGCAAGAGACAAGAAGAGGAGAAAAAACAACGACATGCTGCCTTCAAGCAGCTGCAGTCCACCTTCTGCTCATAACCCACCACAGAAAGCAGATGATGCAGATTGCAAAGTTCAGTGTTACTGAAGTTTTAGAAACCCACTCCTTACTTAGACTCAAACCCGTTTTAAATTGTGGCACTTAAATAAAAAACAGATTAATTAAATTAAAATTAAATCTCAACTAAAATAAAAAACATGTCATAACTAGGCACAGGGTGAAGTCCAGGATATGGTTAGCCTTGCACAAAACTGATACCTTGTATATTGTATGTTCGACCTCTAGACCATCTGAAATCCATCTTTGGGGGTTTTTTTCTGTTTGTTTGTTTTGTGTTTTGTGCTATAACCTTGTTGATGAACAGTAGTTTGCAATCCCACAACTAAACAACCATAAATATGTTTCTGTTTACCTACAGAGTAAATAAAGATGTGTTGTAGACCTAGGCTAAGGACAACAACTGTACACTGAAGTTTAGCCGTATTGCTAAAAGCACACAGAAGACTGCTTCCATTTAATCATGCTTGCATGTTACAGTACTATTTCTCAACTTTGCCTTTGCTAAGACTTCATTTCTAATGACCCTAGAAAAAAAAAAGATGTTCTCAAGTGGAGGTCCGATGATAATCCTAATTGTGGCAGGAGACATCCTTTTAGTTATCCTCTTTCGTAAGGAACCATCTGTATAAAACACCAATGAGCCATTGTTTGAATAATTCTTTTGTGATGATTTGTGCACAGTAATATTGTGTAAAAGCAGTAGCGAGCATCTTTACTGTGACCAAACAGTAGGTAACATGCAAGTTACAAGGTCCCAGGAGAAATGTGCCCATCTAATTTGATTTTACAGGTTCCCTTCTGTAGAGTGACATATCACAAATTAAGATGTGAAAGGTCTGGTGTCTGTAGACTACGGGATAACAAAAAAAGTACAAGCTGTCACTTTAGTGCCCGATTACACCGAAAAGATGACCCAGAACAAGATAGAAAACATTCAGTTCTTTTTTTTTTGTAGCTCCAGAAAAGTAAAATCTTCATTTGTTATTTTCAAATGCACTGTGGTGTTTTGGTGTAAGAAACAAAATGTTAGGGGGAGTTCAGTCAATATACACTGGTAACCTCACTACTGTTTTTTTGGTTTTTTTTTTTGCAAATGAGCCATTACCTATAGGTTTTTAACTGACTCCAGAGACCGCTGAAATTCAGCTTCATGTCTAAATAGGACAAATGCTGATTTTTATGTTGTGACTGTGAATTACAGTACTATTCAGTACGACTAAGTCTTGGGCCATCGTTCATTTCTTTAAACTTAGGTAAAATGTGTAGTATTTGAGGTGAAAAATGAATCTATTTTGGAAAAAAGATGTAAGCTGACAAAATGTGGAACAAGTGAGTACCTTTAGAGGCACTGTAACAGAAAACTTGGCAAACAACCTATTTTCTGTGACATTTCATGCTCACATCAGGTGTCTGACCTGGTCTTGTTTTTCCCATTTCAGAAATAGGGGTAACCTCAGGACTGTTGTCTCAAAATGTGAACTGGAGATTCTCATCCATGCTTTGATCTCTACTAGTTCAAATTATTGTAATACACTGTTTTCTTGTCTAAAGCATCTAGTAATTGCTTCTAGTCCATCTAAAATGCTGCTGGAAGGCGTTTAACTGATGTTAAATCTTCTCGAAACATCTTTACACTGACTTCCTGTCAGGTTCAGATTTTAGTTAAAAATGTATGCCCATCTGTAATGTCCATTATGTAACACCAAACCAAAACAACAGTTTCTTTATATTGTAAGGTAAAAACCGTAAAATGGTAATAAAGACCTGCAGTAATTCCCTGATTCTCCAAGCTGGGTTCTTAAGCCCAGGTAGGGGTCTTCTTGCTATCTCACGTGTTAGTCTGAAAACAAAGAACAATTGGGTGTTTCAATCCTTTGCTCCAAAATTCTGGAACAGCTTAATCCTCTCTTTTTACGCTCTTAACCCTGTGACATTCTTTAAAACAGCTTAAAGATAGGCATTTAGACAATGTTTTTGCATACTGTGGTTTTACTGGTTCATGTAAAAACCATTTTGACTTTGCACAAGCTGTACTTGAATGTCTGTCACTTACTTGTTAAGAACCAATTCAAGTTATTCCTTTAGATACAGTATTTTATTATCAGCAGCCTGTCACAAAAATGCATAATTTACTCTGGTTTCATTCCAACAGAGCGATTTTCAAATTGATGGAGTTTGATTAGAGTTAGAGAGACAGGATAAAAGACATGCTGTGGAAGAGAGCTACGTTACCTGATCCAGCCCTAAATATAAGCTTTGTCAAAAAGGAAAGTTTTAAGCCTAATCTTAAAAGTAGAAAGTGTGTTTGCCTCCTGAATCCAAGCTGGGAGCTGGTTACACAGAAGAGGTGTCTGAAAGCTGAAAGCTCTGCCTCCCATACTACTCAAATACCCATCAACCACAAGTTAATTAATCCACAGTCTGTGTACTTAATCAGATGGGGCCTGATTATTCAAGACCTTGTATGTGAGAAGCAGGATTTTGCATTCAATTCTGGATTTAACAGGGAGGCAATTAATTAAAAGCCAATATAGGAAAACTATAAATTTTCTTTCTAGTCCCTGTCAGTACTGACAGGGATGTTATAATGTTTTTGTATTATATACTATATTTCCATGTTTGTTTGTGTGTGTTTCAGTAAATCACTGTACCTTTTTCCTACCAAAATATAAAGACCTGAGGGTGGCTCAAGACTCTCAGTACTGTATACATGTCCAATGGGAAAAGTCTCACGGCAGTACTTTGAGATCAGAGACAGGCTGTACAGAATAGTCCTGCAGTTCCTTCATTCAGCACATCTGCATAGAAGAGAGATGTATGTGTTACTTCATCATGTAGTCTTAGCGTTATCATTAGCTTTGCTATGCAGCTATGTCGGTAGCATTGGTCTAGAAAAGAGCCTGATACTTGAAGAAATAGCTGAATACTTTGGGAAATACTAGGATTTTCACTTCGGTAATTTCGGGGTTGCACTTTCACTTTGCTTAGCGTAAAGACTGGAAGCATGGTTAGCAACTAGCCTAGTTCTGTCCAAACTGATTACATAGATCTAGCAATAGCCTTAAGGCTCCCAATTATGTTTTATGTGGGTTCAGGTCATTTCTAGTATTTGGTACCATTTGAGTACCCATATCAGAACTAAGTGTATTTTGTATAATAATGGGCCAGTATCTATTTTTCCAAATCTTGTCTTAGCCTAAAATGCCGCATCCCCATGTCACCTTTGTTTAAGTTAAGTTACCAATAGGAGTTCAAAATCTTAAAATTATTTCCAGTATAAACTGATATTATTTGTAATTTTGATCATAGGTTTGATAAACATGAGTAATAATTACTCACTTAAGGATAAAACATCTTTCCTGTTATAGTACTAGGCAGAATGGTTATTGACATGAAATGCATATCATTGTGTGTTTTTAATTTATTCACAGCATGACATTCAAAGTTTAATCTATACAACGTTTTTAGTCATTTTTAACCTAATGTATCTAATTCTTTTTTCATAGTTTGGTATCTAAACCCCAAATATGTCGTGCAGTCAGACTGTATATGGAAAAGGAGACTACAAAGAATATTAAAAATTGTGTTTAAGTGATAATAATAGCACAGTACACTGGCAGGATTTTATTTTATTAATGATTATAAATGTTTTAACAATATGCTTTATGCAGAATATATCATTTATATAAAAATAAAAATGTAGAACTATCAGGCATTTTAAAGCTGTTGAGATGAAATAAGCATTTTGTCAAGAAATTAGTGTTGACATGAGACTTATTATTGTAGGCTCTTTATCTTACTAAGTAAGGCCTTGAGGTGATTGTTGTTGTGATTTGGCATTTTATAAATAAAATTGGATTGAACTGATTTGAATTATGAAATAAAACGGTCATAGTGAAAAGGATATTTCACCATCCAAAGGACTCAGTGAGGTTTTTGTAGCTAGTTGGAAAGTTGTAAAGCTCTCACTCTAACATGGATAAGAATAGCTTAATTCAAATGGTTTAATGTTAGGTGGAACAACCAACCTAAAACTAGCAAAATATTAATTTATTTAAAAAAATGGACTTAATTTAAAAGCTATATATATGCTCTCAGTACCAAACCTAGAAATTATAAGGTGCTCATTTAAGTCTTTTAAAATATTTTTTTTAAAGTCATTTAAAATGTTGAATTTGAAAAATGCAACTTCATCAAGTTAATGTTATTATCGGATTATACATTTCATTTACAAAATGGTTATTAGTGATTATTACTATGATAATTGTTTTTATCTGATAGATGTTAGAAACTTTTAAACCTTTACAGGATTAAATTTTCATTGAACAGGAAGAATTACAAATAATTGGGCCATTTCATTCAATGAACAAAATCACGGTCTCTCACTGGTTAAGCAAACGGTGAGGCAAGTATTCACTGGTGTGATGTCACCTTGTGGACAAAATTAATAACATAAAATAAAACAACGTTATGCATATATTTATGGCTAAATTGAGTACATTTAAAATAAATAATAAATGGAATACTTAAAAAAAACTGGACCAAATTTCATTAAAATGTATTCTTAATCTAAAAGACATGAATTGAAGTTTCAGAACACAGATTACAGATCATGGCTTTTCTTCAGTGGTACTTTATTAATACCTTGTAAAGTACATTTAGGGGGCATTTAGCATGTCACACATGGAGACTTTGGACAAAATTGTTCAAGCATTATATCTTCAGCTTGACTAGTATACTATTCTAATAGTTTATGAAGCCGCCTCTCACGAAATCATAAATGATACTACTTTGAAATGGCATTAAATAGTAGAAATGACCAAAATGTTAGCACCAAAGTGTTACATGGATTGATAAATGGATTCAGATCTTCCAGGACCTGAAACTAAAAAGTGTTTTTGAAAAAAAAGTAATGTATTAGCCATTATATATATATCTTGTAGTCTCACTTTTGGAAAGAAAGTACTTTTTCCCAATGATGTTGATCTATATCTAAAACATAATTTAAGAAATCCTTTACAGAAACACTGACACATGGGCAGCAGTTTGGCTGTTGTGGAAGATGCAGTCCTCTCATCTTTTTTAAACAATATGCAGTGTCACTACCTGTGGAATGACTGTAATGTCATCTGTTAGCACCATACCTGCAACACACTGAAATCACACTAGTAAAAATTAGTTTTTAAAAATTAGTAAATATTGCATATGTGCAGAACCTGCTCTGTTCTGAATGAGGTCATTGCCTTTAATTTGTCAGCTTTGAAGGGCAGAAGTAAATTTTGGGTTGCTATACAGATGTAGAAAACAGTAAAAGAAAATTGAAGTAATTATTATTTTCTGATACATGGATAATAAAAGAAATTCTAGAAGATCAAATAGATCCACAAGCCCAATGAAGCAGAGAGGCTCTAAACTAAACAGTGTACGGCGCATTTTATGTTCCTGATCATTTTATTTAGTCTCTATTAATGTATTAAGTTGTAGCATGTTATTGTTGACGTATAACCAACCAGTGTATGGATTGCATACTTTATCAGTGATTTGTTGTAGAAATGGACAGAGTATTTTTTGATGAATAAATTGTCTTTTGTTTTATTAGAAAAGTTGCCAAATATTAAAGTCAGCAAAATATATTTTTCAGCACTGTATAGATATTGTATTTCTGCTGTCTCTGTCAGAATGCTAATGTTAAACTTAACTGCAATAAATGATAAATAGAATGGTAAACATTGTGAATCATTTTGCTTGTAGCATTGGCTTACTTTCTTTGGGGACTTGTTCCTACCCTCTCTACATATATTTCTCTCTGTCTCAGAATGAAATTGCTTTTCTAGTTTGAGTTCCAGACTGATTAGCAGCTGTTGACTAACTATTACACAAAATTGTAGTTAACAAGGAACAGAAAACAGGTGTGACTATGAAAGAGGTCATTATGGGCTACAACTCCCAAAGTCCCACATGATCCTGTTCATCCACAGTGTTCCAGCTGCTCAGTGTACGCTGTCCCAGCATCTTACATCTTGCTGCTGTGTGCTGTGGGGAGTGTAGGAATTTGGTACCATGTCTTGACAGTCTTCTTTTTTATCTTTGAACAAGGGAAATAACACCAAACAAACATTTAGGTTTCTGTTGCAATGTTTGGTTCTTCAACACTTTGTTTTTTGTCACAAAAAGACCTTACTATGATATTCCAGGGAGTAGCATTGCCAAAACAATCTGCAGTTGTCATGGGCATGTTAATCTAGAAGCTAAATTTAAGAAGTCTGAACTTCACAGTTTGTTTAGAAAATATTTATTTCCTGTAATGTACACTGTACAAAGGCACATACACGTTTGAAGGAACATTTCTTCACTTTAGTCTGAAGTCACTACATGATTTCTTTTATAATATACCATATAGATAACACATAGATTCTCATTCAATGAACAGCCTTAAAAGAGAAAACTATTCTAAATGCAAAATTGTGCTATTCTACCTACTAGCTTTCTTTGCTTAATATAAAAACATTTAATATTGGAAAAAATGAAAATTATTCATTTTTGTATTTGCATAATGATTGAGACAATTATCTTTCAAAATAAAAGGTTTAATCCATAGACCAATCAGCAGTCAGTATCATTCTATCAATTACTACTGAGCCATATGCCAAGCAGGTAAGTCTAATGTTACACAGTTCACTTTACGTCATGAGTGTCTTTGTTCTAATGGGATTCCAGAGATTATCCATAGCAGCTTACCATAACAACCATCTGATGTTATATAACAACCATCTGATGTTATGTTGTGATTGTCAGCTCATGCTGCTAGTCTACAGTACCGTCAGTTCTGTTGCTAGACCATAAGAATTAACAACATGAATGCCAGAGAAGAGTTTCTTAATTTTGTCCCTTGCTTTACTGTCTGCACTTCCAGTACTGCTGCTGCACCTATGAATTTTATATTGCTAGTCATCTCCCTTTTTCTTTTTTTTTTTGCTCCTTTTGCTCCTTTTTTTCTGTCATATATAAATTAAAGTTAACAGTCACCAAAGTTGAATCTGAACTTTGAATACTCACATAGGTTAAGGATAGGAAAAGTTGTCAAACATTACCCTCTTTTTCTCATCATTTTTCTTCAGTCACTGTTACAACATCTACCCTGTTTCACAGCCCATGGCTTTACAAGATCACACAGACTTAGCCTGTTGGCAGGATAACTCTATGGAAGAAAGAGAGATGAATCTAAATTTGTCATTGTCACTGTGAGCATGCTTGCAAATGTTAATGCAGATCACTGTACTTATTGTTATCCTGACCTTTTCACTTTTTAATAACATGTACATTTTGTGAGTGCTGCTTTTATAGCTTTGCTCTCAAATGTATTTTTGCTAGAAAACTAATTCTATTTAATTTGATAATAAAGGTAAATAAGCAATTCTATAACCTCTATAAATAGGTAATGTAGTGTTGCCACTGGGCACTCACAGGAGAGGATGACAACATGCAAACTCTTGATTCAAACCCAGAATATTCTTACTGGCCACTCCACCACTGTGTCACGTTCTGGATCATTCAGTTGTCATGTACTGTATTGCTTGTTGTAGCTGGGAACTGTAAGTTTATTCTGGCCCGCAACTGTTTATGTTTGGTCCCAGTAAAGTAATATTCATACGTTATTCCTGTTAAGTCTATCGGAACCTACCCTTTAGCTAGCTTAAGTCAGTAATTTCTCAAAGCAGGTATTACATTTGAACATGGTACATCTGAATTTCTACACAGTAAATTGCTTACTTGGAATTCAATAAATATCTTATCCTTGTATGAGAAGCGTGAAAATTTAGTTGATACAAAATGCAATCAAACTGCTCCATGGCTCCCCAAAATAAAAATAAAAACCTAGAATAGATTTAAATTTTGGCTCCTGTGTACTTCTAACCATGGATTTCATTCTTTAAACACAGCAATTCTGCAATTTTCATTTGATTTTGGAGAAAAGAATTAACCAAATCTGGCAAGATGTGCAGTTGGTGAGTAGCAACTGTCTGTTAGTGTGGTTAAAAATACAGTAATGGGGCAAGCATGACAGTGAAACTGCAGTAGCACTCAAGTGCTGTCGATAAGGTGATGCCTAAATATAAATTGTGTATTTTCATGAGCTGAGTGACCAAACTTTTTGATCGTACCTTGTAAGTTTGAAGTGTGATAACAGAACAGTTTAGACTTCTTGTTCAGTCATGTAAATTCTTCAATGATCCTTTCATTTTCATCATCTTGAATTACTTTTCCTTAAGTATTAAATGTTTAAACACACACATGTCCCTATACCCCACTCCGCGCACATTCTTCCATCCTTGCTAGTCAGTCATTTTAACTAATACAACTGCCAGTAGTTACTGGTTCCCCTGCTTTGAGCACTGAGGACTTGAAGTGATTTGAGGGAGGAGGTGAGGGAGCCTGCAGCAGTACTTATATATATCTGGCATACATTTGAATTTTTATAATTTTGAATCATAAATTCAAATTTACCAAATTCAATCAAATACCTCCTGACAACAAATATATCTGCCTCCACTTGCATATTCTCTCGGTCTCTTTGAGAATCTTCCCTTCAGCATTCTTACTCCATCCTCTCATTGCCATCACCGTTGATCTGCACCACACAGTCCTTGTTCATAGGCTCTTTTGAATGGGCTGTATCAAAGTGCTGGTTGCTCACTGTGTACCTTCCACAGGCATCCAAACCCAAAGCAGGGACAAAGCGGCGGTCAAACTGGATTTCTTGGCGCAGATAAGAGGTCCTCTTCTGGCAAGTGTCACCAGTTCCCTCCTGCAAGGCTGATAGGAAGACAACTAACTCAAAGTGGGTTGATGAACCCTCACACAGGACAGGATAGAGGGGGCTCCGACGGTCCAGGGGGTGGTAAAAGGTGAGTGGGAAAATGAAGAAGGGGCATGGCTGCTGGCCCAAATGGTCCAAATAGAAGTCCAATGAAGTCTGGTGCAGAGCTTGGCCTTCATGCTCCTCGTATAGCACAGCACTCACCTTTACATCCACCAGAGGCCGCTGCAGCAGATTGGTGACTCGAAGCATGAGGCACGTCTGACCCAGGTGTTGGCCCACCACTGCCTGGTGGCTGAATTGTATGGCTCCTGCTCGCTTCTGGGGGCGGGCAATCTTGGCTACAAATGCACCTGAAAGTTAAGACGAAGTCTTGCTCATGTTGGGTTTTTTTTTTAGCCGATTAATCACATTTTTTATTAATGTTTCTTTGTACTAAACCATAGCACAGGAAATATTTTTCCCAAGCATCATGGAAAACCCCCCACAAAATGAGTACTTAATAGTAATGGTTGCAGCATATGACCAAAGAACATGAAAACATGAAGTGCCATTAAGCTGAAAACTTTTTCTCAAATTATTATGAAATTATCTTAAACCTCTGCATATAAAAAGGATTATAATTCCTAAACACCTAATGTAATACTTTTGCTAAATGCTTTAAACCTCTCCACAAATCGCTACCTTATTATGGTGGAGGGGTTTTTGTGTCCCAGGGATACCAGGGGCTATGTTGTCTGAGGCTTTTTGTCCCCTGGTAGGGTCTCCCAATGCAAATTGATCCTGGGTGATGGACCAGACAAAGACCAATAAAAAAAAACCCAATGAGCAGAAGATCGAGGGAACCATTTACCCTGTGCAGGATAGGGTTAACCAAGACCCTGCCCTGGAGCCAGCCCCGGGGAGGGTGCCCGGGGGTGAGCGTCTGATGGCCGGGCCTTAGTCCATGGAGCTCATTTGGGCACAGCCCAAAAAATGAACATGGGCCCACCTTCCTGTAGGCATACCATCCCCACATTGCGCTGCAGGGCTCGGGTGCAATGTGTGCTAGGTAGAGGCCAAGGTCAGAGACCAATCCCAGGCTACCAAGACTAGCAACTGGGATACGGAATGTCACCTCTCTGGTGGGGAACGGGCCTGAGTTAATGTGTATCGTCTGTTCTTATAAGAATGACGGCCTTCTTGGAGTCCCTGGACAGGGTGCGCTCTATCTGGGGGCTCTGTCGTCCTACTGGGAGACTCCAACGCTCATGTGGGCAATGACAGTGAGATCTGGAGGGGCGTGAGTGGCAGGAATGACCTGCCATATCTGAAACAAAGTGGTGTTGTGTTACTGGACTTCTGTACAAACCACAGTTTGTCCATTACAAACACCATGTTTGAACATACAGGTGTCCATAAGTGCACTTGGCACCAGGATTACAAAATTAATCATCAACATGTTGCTTAGAGGACTCTCTAAGCAACATGTTGATGATTAATTTTGTAATCATATCATCAGATGTGTGGCCTTATGTTCTGGACACTCGGTAAAGAGAGGTGCTGAAGTGTCAACTGATCACCACCTGGTGGTGAGTTGGATCAGGTGGCGGGGCAGGATGCTGGACAGATCTGGCGTGCCTAAACCTATAGTGAGGGTTCACAGGGAACACCTGACACAGTTCCCAGTCCTTCAACTCCCATCTCCAGCAGAGCTTCGACAGTGAGTCCAAATGCACTCAGCACCTCAATTGCTGAAACTGCTGCACTGAGCTGTGGCCACAAGGTGGTTGGTGCCTGCCGTGGTGGTAACCCCCAAACCAGATGGTGAAGGGAACCGTTAGGCTGAAGAAGCAAAAATGTAAAAATATGTAATGTCCAAAATGTTATGGTCCTAACTGTATGGAGAGGCAGACAACTACAGCAAGTTCATATAGAAATTGGGGAATTGTATGTCTGATAGAAAAGGTTTAGACTTTTGAAAAACATATAATATTTCTGCTTTTTTTCAATAGTAAAACAGAAACAAAAGGTAATAATGACAATGGAAAGACTAAAAGTAAAATACAAGCACTTGGATAAACATCATTACTTTCCTCACTTGTTCTGAGGGTGTGCATTGTCATCAGATAAATGCACATTTCTGATTTCTATATAGCAAAGGCAGTGATCGTGACAGTGGAAACAATTTTAGACCAAAGAATGATGTTTAAACTTCAAAATATCTTTTAAAATTTTAGAAGCACAACTGTATTCTTAAAGTGCCCTATTTTTACATTGCTGTACTAAATGTGTCTCAAATCACAGGAGAATAACTTAAAATATATGACTATTTCTTAAGCCTCTTACACTGTGCACTGCCTTTGGTTCATCTATCAATGAAAAGTTGGAGCAGTGTTACTGGGTTGGACCTGGTAACACTCACACATCGGTAAAGTAAAGTGTGGTTTGATCTGTGAATTTTTGTGAGGAGCAGCGTAATGTTTGAATAAAGCTTGAAAAAGGTTCAGACAAAAGATGCCAGTGTCCAAGATAGAATAGCATTTCTATGGGATGAAGCCAACAATATTACATATCTAATTTTCTGGCTATCTAGAAATATATTCATGGGATTTATCTCTGGAAGTGCAATACCTGGAGTATTCCAGCAGGTGTCACATTTCTTTAGCCTCAGAAGCTTTAAAACTGCAATCTCTGTTCTGCCTCATGAGGTTGGAATCCTATAGCTTTTTTTCTTATCTCAGGATTAATGAAAGAGATCTTGTAACATGTTGTATTATAAGATATTTGTTTAATTAATCTTTAGATCTTTTGTTGTGCCATAAGATCTAGTTTTCCACTTCAAATGTTTATGATTAGGATGTGGATAGGTGTTTTGGAGATTACTGGTTTGATTTAAGCACTGACTGAGACTGGCAACCTGTCTGGGGTGTATTTTGTCTCTTGCCCAGATTCACAAAGTCTGTTGTGAAAGGTTCCAGCCTATGAGAAAAATGTCATCATGAGCAATTTCACAAAGAAATGATAGTATGATTCATTTAGTATGATTTACACGTTTTCCTTTAGACTTTGGGCTACCACTAAAACACCTTCTATTGTGAACATGTAAATGTCAACTCAGTGTGGTAGTTATTTTCTGTTATGTTTCCCAAATAGTAAATTAAACTTAAGACTGAGAATTGTCTTAGAATAATTGATGTTTTGATGGAGAGATGTACCTGTGATAAATGCTTCCAGCATGAGCCCAAGCAGCATCTGTACAGCCAACAGTGCTATAGCACTGGGGCAGTCTCCACTGGGGAACATAGTGCCATAGCCGATGGTTAGCTGAGTCTCCAGGGAGAAGGAAAATGCAGCAGTGAAGCTTGTAATGTGCTTTACACAGAGCACATGCCCCTGTGGGGGCGCATCATGATCCTGCACAGCAAGGTCCCCATTTAGGTGTGCCAGCAAGTACCACAGACAGGCAAACAACAGCCAGTGGGCCAGGAAGGAGGTGCAGAAGGCCAGGAGGACCCATCTCCAGCGCAGACTCACCAACAATCCCCACACATCCTGCAGGGCCAACAGCCAGGCTCTGCGTAAAGTCTCATGCCATGAGCCCGAAGAACACACAGTGGGGCGAAGTGCACAGTGTCCATCTTTGGTGATCAGACGCTGGTGAGGTGGAGCGGACAGGAGAGGTGATGAGGAAGCCTTGCCACCCAGAACACTGCTGTTCGATTTGGTTGTCATGCTTATGGGCAAAGTGAAGGTGATGATGATCCTGAAATGAAATAACAGGGGAGCTGACTAACATAAATGATCAGTAATTATCCATACAACTTTTATCAGCATTTTTCCCATACAAAAATAGATGTAAAGAAAAAAAAGAGCAAGAAGTTAGTCACACTGTGGTATGAAATTTGCCCATGTATGGAAAAGAGGTGGGGGTGGGGGCTTTGTGATCTGTGGGTAAATTATTAGATAGCTTGCAATAGCTTCTCAAGTTCCTGTTTTCTCTCTACATACTTCTTGTGACTGCTGTTTTGAATCGCATCATTTTGCTGAATAATTTCAGCTTGGTTAAAAGGACAATAAGTTCAGGTTATTCACTCCTGTCTCTTTTCTCCAGTAAATGAGCACAGAGAGCAGTTCCTACAATCTAAAGATTATAACTGTAATTAGAATTTAGTTGAAAAAAGGTCTTGATGCACTGCTGCCTGTAAGTTGCTGGATTCTTTTAGCTATGCTAAGCTAACCAAATGCATGTATGTGCAGAGAATAAAAAAGGACAGTACAGCAGAAATCAATCAGATTTAAAAAA